TCGACCTCTATGCCTCTTCGGTGAAACCTCCTGTAAACCTACCGTGCGTTAGCTCAGAGAGGCAACTATTCCTTCCCCAGCAAATCGCACACAGGTGTCCATGCTGATGACGGGTTCTCTCGATAAAGATCCAAAGCAGAGCGGATCGACGCATGTTCATTTTCAGCATCTGAGTCAGATGCCACCAACAGAAGGTTGATTTTCTTTTTTGGCGGTTCGGGTTCTGTCGTTTCCGCATTGGCGTGTTGCTCTTTTAAGACTTCTGCAAGCATGCTCCACACCTCGTCCCTCTCAGATTTTGGAAGGCACTTCAGATTCTTAAACCTTGGGTCGAGTGCTGTAGCTATCCTTAGAAATCTCACATTGGTGCCTTCTCTGCATTTTGTCAAATCTGCAGTGAGAGCGTTCTTAACACGGACATGTGCTGGGTCATCATCCGAGACTGCTATCACATGAAATACATGGCAGAATGCGGGTAAAACAGAGCAGGAGACGTACAATTTTCCCCCAAGGAGTTCAGTCACAAATGTAATTAACACATTATTTTTTTAACAAGCATCATCAGCATGGAAGCACGTCCTCTGGAATGGTGACCAAAGCCTGAAGGGGCATATGAATGTTTACGTGCAGGATATGCTAAATACCTTGCAACGCCAGCTACAAAAGTGCCATGCGAACACCTGTTCTCAGGTGACATTGTAAATAAGAAGCAGGCAGCATTATCTCCTGTCAATGTAAACAAACTTGTTTGTCTGAGCAATTGGCTGAACAAGAAGTAGGACTGAGTGAACTTGTAGGCTCTAAAGTTTTACATTGTTTTGTTTTTGAGTGCAGTTATGTAACAAAAAAAAAATCTACATTTGTAAGTTGCACTTTCACAGTAAAGAGACTGCACCACAGTACTTGGATGAGGTGAATTGAAAACTACTATTTCTTTTCCTTTTCACAGTGCAAATATTTGTCATCAAAAATAATAATAGAAAGTGAGCCATGTACACTTTGTATTCTGTGTTGTAATTGAAATCAATATACTTGAAAATGTAGAAAAACATCCACAAATATTTAATTAATTTCAGTTGGTATTCTATTGTTTAACAGGGCGATTAATCACGATTAATTTTAATTTAATCAGTTAATTTTTTTGAGTTAATCGCGTGAGTTAACTGCAATTAATCAACAGCCCTAAAATTTTTTTATTGCAAAACTAGCTGTATCATAGGAGTTGTCGCGGGGGAGGGGGCGGAAGCTGTAGGTTTCGGCAGCTGCTCAGGGGACAGTTGAGTCTTTTGCAACCAAGGACTGTGTGGGAGGTGATTTCAGTAGCTAGGAGGCAGTTGAGGTTTCTGGTATTCTGAAGGAGGCATTATCTCCAGTTCCAATACTGAGGATAGGTGTTGGGGGCTGACTATGAATTTGGAGGGGACAAAGGTTTGGATTCCTCACACGCCTAAGCTGCCATGAACAGGAGCTGGCTGGCCCATAGCATGCCACTGCAATATCTGTTACTACCATGACAGCACATTCGTTTGATATTTCTGCTAAAGAGCTCATTAGACATTATCATTAGACTTCAGGGTTAACACTCCATTGAGGTGAACAGGAACAAGACACACTCCTGTCACAGACAGCTATCATCTCAGGCTGCCTGCAGACTCAGGCAGTCATCATCGTTTTTGTTAGACTAAGGTCCCATTTTGAAGAACAGCATCCCAACCGAAAGGGCCAGAGCCCTCGTCGTGGTCAGTTTAGATTCCAGGTTACAATTCTGCTGCAATTTGTTTAAAGAAAGCCCAGCTCATAATGCACAGGAATGTCCTCACTTTTCATTAAGCCTGGGAACAGTGGGTGGAATGACTCAGCAGGAAACAAACATACAACCAGTGTAAGAGGAGGGCCGTCCCAAATCATTACCACTGCTGGCACAGTGTGGTTCTGCAAGAACCCCACCTTCAGCTCCCTCAGGGTTCAGAAATAAGACACTTGCACCCAGAGTCTTTCAACACTGTTCCCCTTCTCAGGGCTGAGGGGATTTCTGGTCAAGCTTCTCCATCCTGGGCACAGGAGGTGCACAGTCCTCCTTGCTGGAGGTGGGTTGTAATTTACAGTCTCAGTCTCTTGAACCAGGGGTCCTCAGCCCTCCTCCCAGAGCTAGGTCATCAGCTAAATCAACTCATGCTCCTCAGCTAAGGAGTCCCCAGCTCTCCTCCAGGAGCTGGATTACTCAGCTTCTCCTCATCTAGATCCATCTACTGAAGGCTTTGACCTGTCCACTTGCAGAGTTTAACAGGCACTGGCAGCAAGGACAACAGCAGCTGCCTTCCCTTAGGGGGTGCTCCTGTTAAGCGCCTCTATGCAAATTAGCCCTGATGGCTTTGTAACAGGCCCAGGTGCTTCTTAGTCAGTTAGCTGCCTACTTGAGCTTGTTCCCTTTAAATTGGGTCCTCATGGATAGGGTGGGCCCTGACTCCCTTTGAAGGGGCCAGCAACCCCATGGCTGTCAGCAAGGTCTTTTCCTCAAGGGATCCTGTGCAATCAGCAGAACAAATCAACCTAAGCCGGGAAGGAAACGGAAAGCTCCCCAGCTTGGGGGGCAGCGCAGCCCCATGGCTCCATGGTGTGGAGCCTTGCTGTTAGGCCTAGTGTTTTTCACACACCAGAACAATCTGAGAAAAACCCCAGGGGCATGGCTGGGTCTCAAATAGCCATGGTCACCAAGGACTTATTTACATAGGGAAATTGACCACAACAGCCATTGCACAAAATCTACTCTAGGAGCTAATCCCGAATAGCTTCCTGTGTGGACAAACCTTAACTATTCACACACAGAGACACCCCCCCAGAGTCTCCTCCACACACAGTCAGCACCACTAAAGGGATCCCAAACTTTAAAGGGATACTGCCCTATTCCTCCACATTACACCACCCTTCCCAAAGCCATTCATTCTGGTCCCCGACACAGCCAGTTTCTAGCGCTATCCTATAGCCCCTGTGCAAGTGGAGGTGGTGCTCAAGGTCCCTGGGTCCTGCTCCGTCACACCAGGCTCCAAACCCAAACGCCCAGCGCAAAACACCCCAGCATGGTGGGAACGTTCTGATCGATGTGCAAACTCTGTGGAATTCGCAGAATAAAACGTCCCTCTCCCTAACCCGGTCAGCAAGAGCGGAAACTTGATTCTAAGTATGAAAACTGCTGGAGGTTGAATGAATTTTTTTTTTTTGCTTCGTACCATAGCAACAGAACGAGCACGGAGTTGGTGGAATTCAGTCCTATCAGACTTAGCATTGGCAAACGGAAACAGCTCTTCGTGCTGTTCATGCGAGGCATAGTGAAACTGACCTCCTTGTCACAGGAAATCATTGAGTCACTTACGGGTGAGTGGCCTTTTCTTCATGTCCCTTCAGAGCACAGCTACTAAGGCTCCATGCTACGATAACAAAGGGAAATGGAACCTCATGCTCCAGGGCACAAGCTGGTCACCTATACAGGTTGAGGCGAGTTTTCTCCCCATCCCCTCCTGGTGATCATCATGGCCCAGTTGCTCTAAAAGGCCGATCCAGCTCCCTTTGAGTTCAGTGGGAGCAGGATTGGGCACTAAATGCAGGACGGGGGCTGGCGAAGTTTACCTTCCAGTGAAGCATCAAGTACAGGCTATGGTCCGAGCTAGGATATCAGATTTGATAGGCAAGTGGCCCAGTTTGGGAAGGCTAATCCCGGGCTCCTATGCTCAGTTTGTCGAGCTCCTGAGGCATGTAAACAGGAAGAGAGCAAAGTCGGGGCGAACCTCTGCTCTCTCTCTTAACGGTCCATCAAAGCACTTAATCAGAGACATAACCTTTGAAGCCCCATAAAACTACCAGAGGGAAGCGCTATCAGCCCCAGCATCTGACTGGTTCTCACTCTGCTCCAGCCAGCAGCTCATGTACACTGAATTTATCCTTCCTCTCCTCTTGGGGCTGCATCGCTAGGAAGACTGCTTTCTGGAGCTCACACCGGTTGAACAAATTCGTAATGTACGTCCATCCTCTGAAGGCCGATGAGGCGCTGCAGGTGCTGGCTGGAGAAAGGTTGCGGATCCTCCCAGAACTATGGTATCGGAGGCCCAGCTGTACCATCATTATTGTATACGGTCTCCATCTCTCTCTCCAGACACCACATCTACCTATCTGTCAGCTCCTAGTATGATCTATCTATGTACCTATCCATCTAGATATCCTCCTAGATCTTAATATAGTGATTTGTCTGTCTATGTAGGATTCTTTGAAGGCACCCATCATAGGGGTATCTAAGCTCCTATAAGAGCACAGGAATTGCCAGAGTGGATCAGACCCAAGATGCAGCTAGCCCAGTATTCTGTCTCCATGAATGTGGGTAGCATCGGCTGCTTCAGGGGAAGGTGTCAGAACCCTCCTGCAGCAGATATGGGGTAATCTGCCCTGACATTGTCTCCCCCACTCTCAAATAGTTAAGAGGTTGTCTTAAATCCTGACTCCTGAATGTTCTTCAGTCTTGAAGATTTCCATTGTTATTACAATTATTCAGATTGTGTTACTCACACAGGAGCCTCAGGCATGGAGTTACCGCACTGCACTGAGCGGTGCAGAAACACAGAGCGTCCCTTTGGGAGCTGGAGGTAGTAGGTCTTTCCTAAATCTAGTCATCATGGGGATCCAAAGCCTCCCCCATTGCTGAAGACCGCTTAAAGGATGGTTTTCTCCATCAACCCCTCCAGCCCCAGCTCCCTGCCCCAATGAGCTGGCCATAGACGCAAACCTAAGTTGCTCGGCTGACCTGGTAACAACATGAGCTGAATGCTTCACTCCTGAGCCAGATATACAGCCTCCCTTCATAGAAGATCAGGGTTGGAAGGGACCTTAGGAGGTCATCTAGTCCAACCCCCTGCTCAAAGCAGGGCCAATCCCCAACTAAATCCAAGGCTGAGAGCAGGGTGAGCGCTTCACAATGACCAGCAAGCACAAGTCCACTACCCAAATGTTACAAAGTGCCACACATCCGTGTTTATTATTATTATTATTGTTAAATACACAAGCTGGTTTCTATTTGTTTTTTTAAATAGACATTATTTATTAAATGACTTTGTATAAAATAATTCACAATTTTGAAGTATAAAAAAAAAACAAAAAAAACCAACAGACACACAAACAACACAGTTGGGACCAAAACAATAACTCTTTGTTGGGAGCTACTCTCCCATCGGCTAATATATGTGGAATAACATGACATGGCAGGTGCATAGCTCTAGTAGACAGAGTCAGACCGTGGATTGTTAGCCCTAGAGTAAATTGCCAGAGATCCACAGCTTGCCATAGAGATACGCTGGCTGACGCCAACCCAAGATCTGGCAGGCTGACGAGCAGATGGACTTTACAGGCATGATTCTGATCCTGTTTACATCTGACTCCACTGAACTCAGTGGAATTACTCCTGGTTTACACAGGGGTACATGAGATCCGAATCAGACTCTCTGTGCCCTTGACACCTGAGCTGTGTGTATCTCTCACCACAATCGCACGCCGTACTGGAAGGGGAATGTGCCTTTGGACTGAATAAATATACTTTAAGAAACATATTAATAATTTAAAAATACAGGGTTTAAATAGGTTTTCTCCTGCCATTTAAAAAAATAAACCATTTATCGCTGAAAGCAGAGACATCCCCGTCTTCAAGTTGGGGGCCAAACAGCAGAGTCCCATAGTTAGACTGATTTACGCCCGCTGAGCATCTGGCCCTAGAATCAGATCAGATGCTGAGTGTCAGCAAAGTTTGATGTCATGGGCCAGATCCTCAGCTGGCGTAAACTGCTGAAGGCAATGGGAACTCTGCCGAATTACTCCAGCGGGGGATCCGGCCCAATGTGGGCTCTTCTGCCATATGATGCAGAGCAGGCCCATAGCAGGTGCAAGACAATGGCGAGGTTGTGGGGGAGGAGGTCTGATGGAGAGAGGGGAGGGCACAGCTCAGTTGGAAGAGTAACACCTTCTCCCCAGTGGTGGAGGGTCCTGGACGGGGAAGCCAAGATCAGAGAGAGGCTGGAGGCAACTGTGAGGCCTGAGTGGTCCAACGGGCTTCATTTCTGAACGGGATGGGCCACCAGTGCAGGTGATGGCAGAGGGGGCTGGCATAGCCCTCCTCCCGGGGAGTGGAGGTGACCGAGGCTGTCTGGAGCCCCCTGCAGACTGGGCTGCCAAGATTTAGGAAGGGGGCATGTCAACAGCGCAACGGGAGCTCCGGTGGCCCCTTGGACCCCGGTCGAGCAGTTGGGAGTTGTGGGACCCGCTCTGGGCCCTGATGCTGACTCGCTGTGTGATCTGTCCTAAGCTCAGAATGGGCCTGAACCTCTGAGCCTCAGCGGTACCATGGGGACAGCACAGAAGGCTGGCAAAGCTCCCCAGCGTTTTAACAGCTGAGCCAGGAGGTGACTAAAGACCGGGATGAGCCGAGCTGTGATCAGCTTGAAATCTGCCCATGTCCCACTTCCTGACCGGAGCTACGTAGACGGACCGCGCCAGCTAGCACAGGGCTGTCACTTCCAGGGGGCATTAATGATCTCCATGCAACGTAATTCGGTAAAGGAGTTCCACCCCACATGACCCTACTGAGATATACACACAGGATCAAAGGCCCGTTGGTCTGTTGCACCCATGTTACTGGATAAAAAGTCCTTGACAGAACGAGACATATTCAGTCTCTTAAAGCACAGTCATAAACATCCAGGCCAGAACACAAGGCCAGCTTGCGTTAGAAAGCCACCCACCGGCCGTGACCCACCGCCTGCAGTTCCCACCGCCGGGCACGCCCGCTCCCTCCAATAAAATACTTTACAGGAGAAGGAGATTTCTCCAATATATTAACGCATAAACGCAGTTCTCCCAACCTGAGGCCGGCTCAGGGTCATCAGCTACATCACGACAAGCAGGATGCCTGGACAGGGGATGGGGGGAGGAGGACGGAATGAAAGGGTAGAAGGCACAAGAAGGATGGACGGCCCGCTGAGTGTACGGGAAAGGAGCGGTAGGCACGAACCCAAACACCAGCCAGCCCCTGTTGCTCAGGGGGAAGCAGGAGAGAGTTAAAATTCACAGTGTAGAGGTTTTCTTTCCCTTTGGGGGCTGGGATCCAGGACCCCAATTTGTACCCCTATTACCCACTCCGCAGCATGTCCTGGGTATGGGAAGGAGCAGGCTCCCCTAAAATGAGGGTGCCCCTTCCTCTCTTTGCAGGGCCTCTACCTCTCACTGGAGTGCAGGGGGATGGGAGAGGGGACAGGGCCACACTTTGCAGGGGTGGGAACCCCAAAGGTCAGAGACCGATCCCAGAGTCCAATATGCTGAGCCAACAGGCTTCTAGCGAAGGGCATGGGGAGAGGAGAGAGGGCAAGCATTGCATAGTACGCTATCAGGGCTCTGGGGCCAGACAGCCAGACACAGCAGCCTCGAGGCATGGAGGGGACCGATGCTGGCTCGTGCAGGTCGTTAAAAACGACTCCTGAAAGGGGCCATCTGATGATCATTCCAAAGGCCACCGTGCTGGGGCAGACAGGGGAGAGAGAGAGGCAGACTCCGCTCGCGGCCAGGTGGCAGCCTCTCCGAAAAGCAGCGGATTCCCTCTGCCATGTCACGAGATGGAGCTGGTCTAAGAAGCGGGAAGAAAGAGACCCCAGACCGCAGTCCCCACCCCTCCTGTCCTCCTGCATCCAACTCTGACCCAGAGCATGCAGGGAGCAATGACAACCTGGCAGGCTCAGCAGAGTCCTCTCATTCCTGCCTAGGCATGCCCCTTCTCGCTGAGCCCTCCACGGCAGGCACAGCCAGCCCCTGAAGGAGCCAGCATCACGCTATCCTAACTCTCTGTGGAGTCCACCTAACCCTTTCCAGGCTGGAGGGGATCAGACAACGCAAGTCGCAGGACTGTTTATCTCCCTTCATCAGAGCCAAACTTTGTCCATCCTGGTGCCAGGTCTGCTGGGGCGGTCCTGCAGGCTGCTCTGGCTTGCCAGTAGCTAGAGAGCAAGGGGTGGGATTGGCCGGGGCGTGGGGCAGCGTGGAACCCAGGCGCCAGTGCCAAGAATAAACAGCATCCATTTCCAGATCTTTCAGTCTCTCCCGACCTTGCAGAGAGGAGCAGAGAGCGAGAGCAAGTGACAATCGTTGGCACTGGGGACGATGGAGGAGTGGTCCAGCTGCTGCAGATTCTCCTCCTGATGGGGCTGAGATCCCACACAAAAGGGAGGGTTCGGAATCCAAGCCTCAAGCCGTTGCTCTTCCTGGCACAGGAAAGGCCCAGCTGGAAAGGAGAGCGAAATCAGGGCGGTGACATCGGCTGCTGCAGGGAGACTTCCAAGGGATGGGGCACGCGTGGCTGATGCGGGGCTGAGATTCTGCTGAACGCAGGAAGCAGGAGCATGCCCAGCCAAGCTTAAATGTTTACCCAGGAGGGAGCGGTCGGGCTCACCGACATTCACTGTTTATGCCAGAGGCTCCCAGCTTCTTCCAGTTGCAGGAGTGGAGCCTTTTGGCAGGTGGGGTTGTTTACCTGGCTCACAGACACTTCATGCTGGGTTGCACTAAACTGAATCTAAAATAGCTAAAAGTATACAGCTGGGTAGGAAGAAACCAGCCTGCAGAACAAGGTGCTCAGGGGGTCAGCATCTATCAGAGGGTTACAGGCTGCTGGGTTTGTCTAAGGGGGGGGATGTCAAGGGCAGTTGGCTCCGCAAAACTGGCATCGCGTGGCCCTGTGTTTAGAGTCAGTCACGCCCAAACAAACCTGCCCAGTTGACAAGGAAAGAGGTGATTCCCCTCCCCTGGGATCCAAGAGTCCCGCTGGGCTCTTCTCTCCTTGCACATCACTGGTCAGAAAGGTTCTACAGGCCAAATTAGGTCACCCTTGTGCAGCCCCATTTCCAGCAGCGGGTTTGCAGCGGGGTCATGGAATGGCATTGGCACTTAATAACCAATTCTGCCAATGCACAGCAAGGGACAGACTCCAGACCCTTCTCCCCTAGCCGGGCTGGCCCTGTCAGGGCTCCCAGGAGCGACCCGAGCTGGAACTCAGCACTGACTCAGATGCCCCCAGAAGCGCATTTGCGGAGTAGGTAGAGGACAATTTCAGAGCCACTTTTCAGAGCAGAACTGCCCTTTCCTGCTGAACAGATCCCTGGCTGGCAGAAGCCTGATCTACCCCTGCCAGCCCCGATCCAGGTTAATGGCCTTACGCCCAGTTCTGCCCGTGCTGAATGTGGGTCCCAGACAGGAACCAGACGGTGACAATTAAATTCCCCGTTGCTAAGGGCCTTGTACAACAGCTAGTAAACCTGGAATCAATTTCCAGGTGCTTAAGCTGCCAAGCAATAAGCTGGCAGCCTTGTGCTTAGTGCCTGGCTGAATATTAACCCCAGGGTCTGCGTGAGCCATTCCGAACCCCCCGCTGTGCCAGGCTGCAGGAATGGGGCCTGATTTAAAGGGGGGTTGTCGTCCGGATAAAGTGGGGCACCTTACCTCATAGCTCGCCCTGCACCTGCAGCTCCAGAGGCTCCTCCGCTCCATTCAGCGGACTGCAAAGAGAAGCAATATCCAGGGGTTCAAACCAAAGCCAGGGGCTGAATGCGGGAAGAAGGTTCAGCTGGTGATGCCCACCCGTGCCCCACAGGGGGGGATGCCTAGTGCCCCTTGCTGCCAGGCAGCCACTCATTGGCCATGCAGGGGCTGGGTCTGCAACAGGCTCTTGGGCCAAGCGCTCCAAGTTGGGAGGCCAGAGGGATAGGACACTGCATGCCAGAGAAGAGGCCACAAAGCCCACTGAGACCCAGAAGAGGAGAAGCCCCAGTTTTGCAGCCCTAGGTCACAGCCTCTCACCTTCCCTCCTGCTCTTCTAGGTCATTCCCTCTCCGCTGCAGCCGTCCCTCCTGGGTCTGTGTGAGGGAAGTAGAAGGATCAGTCTTGGACTGCTTGGGAGCCTAGGTAGGGGTCTGTGCTGTCCATGAGGGGGGAAGCTCCTGAGCCCTTTCTATCCCCTTCTCCCTGCAGTGAGCAGTGCCTTGGGGGGGGGGGAGAGGGGTGAACAGACAGGCTCTCCTGTGGGAGGTGGCAGCCAGGGTGAATTGCTGGGACTGGAGTCTCTTTCCCACCCCAGACATCCCCCCTGGGCCCCATCCCCCACTGCAGTCATAGCCCCAAACACACTCCCATGGGGCAGGGGGATGGGACGTTCCTAGTTACGAGAACTGCTCTCCCCACACTCTACCCTTCCACCTGAGCCCCTCAGTGCTTTTCAGTCCCTGATGAGTGTGCCCTGCAAGGTATTTTACAGCGAGGGAAACTAAGGCAGAGAGCGATTTGGGGCGGGCGGGGGAGTGACTTGTCCAAAGCCACCTCACAGAGCTGGGAACAGAACCCAGGCCTCCCGACTCCCAGCCTCCAGCTCTAACCACTCGAGACACTGTCTCAGCGCTTGGGTGGGGTGGGGTTTTCCCCAGGTGCGCACACCTACTTGGTTGACAGGAAGGGGCTGAGAGAGGATGTGTCTTTAACCCACTAGCCAGCACTGCCCACAAGACACCCCTCTGCCCGCCCTGGGAGCTGCTGGGACCAGCCAACGTGTCCCGGTGGGGGTGGCTTGGTGAGGCGCTTACCCTGGATCGATGCTTGTAGAAGAGCAGGCCTCCGACAGCCAGCAGAATCGCCACGGTCGCCAGGACTGCTACCAGCACATAGGACATGACCTCCCGCTGGGTCTCCTTGGGCTGCGCCTCCTTCCTGCGCTGGTCTGTGTTCGGAGGAAGGATGTTAAGGTCAGGGATGGGCCCCGCCAGGCTGTCGTCGAGCTCTCTGAACCTGGGCAGCCCCCCTGTTCTCTTTCCTCGGAGCTCCGTGGTGCGCTGCACGTCTGGGGCTTTGCCTTGCCCTGCTGGGTGCAGAGGACTCCCCCCGGGGGGCGTCTCTGGGGCAGTAGGGCGGTCAGTGGTAGCAGACATCCTGGAGAACCGGTGCTGCACTACAGAGAGGGGCTCCTCGGAGCCCAGAGAGGGGATCGGCCACAGCTCACTGTGCAGGGGGGTCACTAATCGGCCACCGGGGTCTGCTCCCGAGGCCTCCACTGCTTCGGATGTCAGGGCTGGGCTGGACCCGGCATCGGCACTGCTGGGATCTATCAGGTGGGTGCTCGGCTCTGCTGCTGAGAATGCCCAGATGGCTTGGGTGATGTCTTCTCCTGCCCATGGCTGGGTCGGCTTGGCGCTGGGGGAGGAGTCCGGTGAACCAGGCTTGCGAAGGAACAATCTGAGCCCAGTCGGCCATGCCTGGACTTGCTCAGCCTCTGTCCTGGTGCGATGGATCTCTTCCCTCTGTAGCGTCTCTCCACCAGAGGCCGGGAGGCTGGAAGGGGAGGTGAAGACATCCCCGGTGCTAGGGGGCTCCCGGCTGGGAGGTTCGGTTAGGTCCAGGAGCGGTTCAGTGCGGACGGACGCGCTGCCAGGTCCCTGTGATGCTGATGCTAGCTCCAGGTCTGCTGGTGGTGAGGACACACTGGCAGAGATGCCAGCCCAGACCCCCTGGATCTCCAGAGCAACCAGGGCTTGGTGCGTGCTCCTGGATACCCTGGGCTTGGCGCTGCTGTCTGACTTGACTGGGCTCTGCATGGCACCAGGCTGGCTGTGGGCCAGGCGGGTGCTGGCAGCCGCCTCCCTGCTGCCCAGGCCGGGTACAGTGGAAGGGAAGGGCTTGGTGGCCAAGGCTGGGTGGGGAGAGGCTTGGGGTCCCTCACGAGGGGAGTTTGGGGATGGACAGTTGCAGTCACGGTCAGTCACCACACCTGAAAGAACCAGAGAGAGAGAGAGAGAGAGAGAGAAAGGCCATAGGGTAACCAGCCTCCAGGAAGAGCAGGGAACAGCCTTTAGGGTCGGCTCAATCCCTTTCCCCGCCCCAGGACCCAGCTTTAGCTTGGGTGGGCTGGTGTCAGAGCCACTGAAACGAGGCCGAAGTGAAACAGGAGGCAGGGGAGAGAGAGTCCGGAATGAGGGGGCGGGGGGACAGCGGCGGGCAGAGCAAAAAGAGGGAGTGGTGAGGCGAATTGAGCTGCCCAGAGAGGCTGCGAGACGCAGACCCGCGAGCAGCGCACAGAGAGCAGCCCGTGCCCTGGGGAGTGGAAGCGATTAGCGAGAAAGAAGGGGTCAAGAAGGCGCACAGCCAGCAGGCCAGGGGACAGAGAGAGAGGTGGTGGGGCAGGGCCGGCGGGAGATCGGGGCTGTGATTGTTAGTGTGCCCAAGCAAGGCAGCGTCCACATCGCGGCAGGCCCTTGTCCAGAGGCAGTGGAGGGTCTGAGGCTCGTGTCATCACCAGCAGCAGCAGCCCAAGCAACAGGATCAGTGGGAGGGGAGTGTTAGTTTCACGAGTCCCCTCGTCTCAGTCACAAGACCCAGGACAGATCCTACTGGTGGGGAGGACGGATGGGAGCTTCTTCTTGGCGTGCATGCAAACATATCACATGTAACATGGACCCGGACACAGGCAGGCCGCAGGGACAGATAAGAGCACTGCATCTTCCACTCTGCCTTGACCAAGTGCCGCCCCCCTGATCAGAGCCAGGTAGCCGGAGGCCAGGAAAATTTTCTCCACTGTACAGATGGGGAAACCAAGGCACAAGGAGGGAACGTGACTTGGCCCGTGTGTCGGTGGCAGAGAGCAGCCAGGAGTCCTGCCTCCCAGAGCTGGGCCCGAGCCACGAGTCCGTCCTTACTCCCAGACGAGCCACTGCAGATAAAAACGACTAGGCCCCAAACCTGCAGCCCTGGCTGAGTCAGGTTTGAGGTTTTCTTGGAGCTTTTCTCACGTTGCTAATTTCTGCTCCTGCCTGTGAACTTCCTGGTTTCGGCAGAAATACCGCAAACGAGGTTGTTGTATTTGCAGTACGACAGCCAAACTCACAGCCCTAGAGAGCCATCCAGCCCGCTTCTCAGAGCAAAGAGTGAGAAAACCACTTCCAAAACAACTTCCCAATTTGGGGGCCTGTCTCTGACCCAGGGGCGCGGGAACAATTTGCACAGTGGGGGGTGCTGAGAACCATTGAACCAAACTGTAAACCCTGGATAGGATGGAAACCACTTCAAGCCAGGGGGTACGACAGCACCCCTAGCTCCAGCACCTATGCTCTGACCCGAAACTTTGGAGCTTTCTCCCTCATCAGCAGTCACACAAATGGACACATGCGCACACACAAATACATGCATGCACAGAGAAATGCAGAAAAAACACACAGGTAAGCACAGTCATAAAGACAGGCACATGGGTGCAATCCAGTGCAGACGCATGTGAGCATACATGTATACACACCCTTGTGATGCCACAAACAATATGCACACCCATTCACAGGGACAAACGCTCGCACGCACACAAGCATGCTCCTGTGTAAAAGCTGCAGTCTCATAATGGTATAAATCTTCGCAACGATCAGGCATGTGAATCCACTGCCCTGGCTGGTGCTAGAGGATGCAGCTCAAGAGGAGGTGGCGTGGGGAGATCAGCTGTCCTAGTTTCTTACCTGGAGACGGCAGTTCCTTTTTCGGGGCATCAGAACACTTCTGGTAGGTTTTGCTGCAATCGCGTTTGAAATCCACATCTTTGGATAAGAGGACCATAACTCGGTGAAAGAAATTCTTCACCAGCTGTAGCATCTTCTCGGGAGGCATGGAGAACTCCTTGGAGCAGGCCTGGGAGAGCTAAGCAGAGAGCAGGGATCAGCAGCCAGGAGACAACCCAGAGAGCAGAAACTGGGTCAAACTCCCCCTCGTCCTACAATTGCCAAATCGCTAGAAGCACCAGGCACCACACACGGTCTGACTCTCCCCTCGCAGCTCTATGGCAATCAGTGAAACTGCTCGGTGTAAACACGGTCTGAGGGAAAGATCAGGACCACTGAGTCTGATCCCTCTCATTGAAATCAATGGGAGTCTTCCCAAGTCCCCCCCAATGAGATCAGAATCGGGCCCATTCAGTGTGATCCTGCTCCCGTTGAAATCAGTGGGAGATTGGTCACTTCTACCAGCGAGAGCTGGCTCAGGCCCATTTACACCCAGGCTGGGATTCCAGGGGCTCTTGGCAGGAGCAAACGCAGGTAGAAAAGGATTAGGGAAAAGACTGAGCTCGGATGGTGACCCGGTTGGTGCTTGGGCCCTTTGGGTGACTCTGGCCTAGAGCAGTCTACAGCCAAAGTCACGGCCTTCTGCTGGGAGCAGAGTCTGATACATCTGAGGCTGCATAGCAAAGTCCTGTAAGTCCTTGTGGTTGCGCGCATGCGGAGAATCCCGCTCCACCCCGCTCAGGATCCCACCCACCACCCCCACCAGTGTGGCTCTGGGAGTCTCTCGAGAGCCCCTGAGGCTGCTGTTTTCACAGGGGAGGCTCCAGCCGACAGCCAGGGAGGCTGGGAATATTCCCAGCTTTGCACTTCCTGCTCTGCTCTTTCATCTGCCAGGCCGGGGACCCTCTGACCCCAGCTCCAGCTTTAATTAGCCCAGTGTGAGGTTAATGATCATTCCCAGCCAACAGCAACCACCGGACACATAACACATATTCAGACACAGCCTGGAACGCCTTCACAGAATCAGAGAAGATCAGGGTTGGAAGGGACCTCAGGAGGTCACCTAGTCCAACCCCCTGCTCAAAGCACGACCAACCCCAACATCATCATCCACGGGGCCACCCTCCAGAGTCCACGTGGTCACCCTCAGTGCTCTGGGAGTTAGTCTTTTCCCAATATGGACATCCACCCAGCTTCCTAGAGCAGCAGGGACCAGCCTGAACCAAACCGCTCCATTCCACTGAGGGCTGCGAGCCCTCCTCTCGTCCCTGTGCCCATTAACCTGAGGATCTGCAGCTGGTTCTCAGAATGTACCTCGCGCTCATGATCATCCTGGTCGTCAATGCACGGAACTTCATTCTCGTCAATTTTCTTGTACATGTTTTGCACATCTTTTGTCTTGTTAAAATTATCAGAGTTCTTCTTGAATTTCATTTTGTCAAGGATGTCCTCCAGCCGAGGGAAAGCCGCTTTGACAAAGCAGATGGGGTCACCCTGGGACGCAAACATGGACAGGTTATTGGCTGCAATACAGAACTGGCCCTTTGTGTGTAAGTTAAACTGGCTTTCCTCCCTCCTCCCAAGGCCCCAGTTCAGAGGTGATATGTGAGGGAAGTCAGTTACACTTCAGCAAGTGGGCCAAAGAGCTTCCTTCCTTAAGGAAGAATTACCACCGCCATTTTGCAAAAGGGAAACTGAGGCATGGAGCGATTAAATGAGTTTCCAAAAATCACATAGGGAGTCTGTGACCAAGATGGAAATCAAGCCCAGCTCTCTGAAGGCTTAGGCTACAGGCCCCTCCTTTCTCTCCAGGCTGCTGAGACTCCCCTCTGGATTTACAGCTCCTCCCATCCCCGAGGCTAATGCACAAGCTGCCATCCCAAGGAATTGCTAGGCTCAGGCTAGCAGCTGATCAGACAAAGTCCACTCACCAATTGCAGCTCATCAATGAACTCAAAGGAGACGTGGCAGGACATCAGCATCTGGGAGTCAATCTGCAAAAGAGAAGCATAAAGTCACACTGCAGCCCCTTAACAGGAATCCAGCCAGGCTGCCGCTCCCCTTTAAGCAGGCACCTGATAATTGCACCAGCCCCTAGGGCCTGCAGAGAGGAGAATCTGCAGAGCAGGATGAACCCAGCTGCTCTGGATAGGATCAGTGCAGGGAACCATACAAGGGCTGAAGCCAGGGGGCTGTTAGCACCACAGGACGGGACTCCGTGCACTATGTACAGGGCTCCCGAGCATTATAGGTTCACTTCCTGGGACTAGAGATCCAGCTCAGCATCTATCAATCATTTGAACACATACTAAATACACTCTTCCACTCAATCATTTTTTAAAACCAGATCCCCGCCCCTGCTCTGCAGACATGCTCATGATTACAGAGTATCTCTCGTCACAGAGGAATTTGCCCTAATGTCCTGGCCAAAATTTTCTCCCCTGTGTCACTCAGCTGCAGCTCATCACCCCATACACAGCTGCATTTTAGGAGTGGATGCAGGGTTTTTTTTGGTAACATGCTTTGGATCCTTGTTGCTGGAAGGCACAATATAACTGTGAGATGTTGTTATTCCATGCAGTTCACTGGAGGTCCAGAGGGTAAACAGATATAATGAAGGAACAAGCAGTTCTGTGAAGAGGCGTAGCCCTGATGAGGCTATGAGCATTCCCAATCCTCGTCCAAACAAACAAGAGGCAGTCGCCCTTCTTCATCGGGGGCCAGGATCTGCCTTGTCAGAGGAAAGCAAAAGGCCACAAAAATCAACCCCGCTGCCCCCTGGCTCTTCACATGCTGACTCAGCACTTTGCAGAATAACTTTGCAGGGGAGCCGAGTGCAACAGCGCCCACATCTGACCAAGGCCCTGAGTGACAGAGGTTTTCAATTTCAGGACGAAAAGCTCTCCTCCGGGGAGTACTCCGAGTCTGCGTTCCAGGCTGGGAAAAAACCAGGGCTGCCAGGAGAGCATGTATTATTGGGAACAATTGTTTCATTATCCACTGGGCCTGTGGTGAGGCGGTTGCTAGCAAACGCTTATTAGATACAAAGCGGAGCTGGCTGAGGCGGGCCAGGGATGGGGTGCGCGGCTGTGATCGCTGCAGAAGGCCGGAGAACACGGGAGGGAAATCCTTTGATCAGTCCTGCTATCTTCGAGCTGGTTTCACGCGCCTGACTCCGACCTTTGTGCCCGAAGTAATGAGGATGGTGGCAGCCATCCAACTTAGGGAACATTCGACTTTGGACTCTGTCAGAGCTGGGACAGCAGCTGGATTAGTGACTGAATGCTGGGCTGCTGGCACAACATCTGGACTCACAGCCTGGCTCGGTATCCAAGCGCTTCAACTGGTAGCGCCACATCTGGATCATTAGCGCAGTATTTACAGGGCGGTGGCCTGGTTGCCCGGTCACTCGCCCCCGTGCCAACTCCGTGGGGCCTGATTCTCCTCTCACTCCCCCTGGTGTGACTCAGGACTAACCCCATGACGTTCATGAAGTGATGGCAGTGCAAGTGAGATCTGAATGGGGCCCTGGCTAATTAAGAAGGATATAGACTCATAGGGCCAGAAGGGACCTCGAGAGGTCATGTAGTCCAGTCCCCTGCACTCACGGCAGGGCTAAGTATTATCTAGACCGTCCCTTACAGGTGTTTGTCCGACCTGCTCTTAAACATCTCCAGCGATGGAGATTCCACCACCTCCCTCGGCAATTTATTCCAGGGCTTCACCACCCTGACAGGTAGGAAGTTTTTCCTAATGTCCAACCTAAACCGCCCTGGCTGCAATTTAAGCCCATTGCTTCTTGTCCTAGCCTTAGGGATTAAGAAGAACAATTTTTCTCCTTCCTTGTAACAAGCTTTTATGTACTTGAAAACTGTTCTCATGTACCCTCTCAGTCTTCTCTTTGCCAGACTAAACAAACCCAATTTTTTCGATCTTCCCTCACAGGCCATGTTTTCTAGGCCTTTAATAATTTTTGTTTCTCTTCTCTGAACTTTCTCTAATTTGTCCACATCTTTCCTGAAATGTGTCCAGTTCTGGGCGTCACAATACTCCAGTTGAGGCCTAATCAGCGCAGAGTAGAGCAGAAGAATTACTTCTCTTGCTTACAACACTCCTACTAATACATCCCAGAATGAGGTTTGCTTTTTTTGCAACAGTGTCACACTGTTGACTCATATTTAGCTGGTGATCCACTATGATACCCATATCCCTTTCCACAGTACTCCTTCCTAGGCAGTCAGTTCCCATTTTGTATGTGTGCAACTGATTGTTCCTTCCTAAGTAGAGTTCTTTGCATTTGTTCTTATTGAATTTCATCCTATTTACTTCAGACCATTTCTCCAGTTTGTCCAGATCATTTTGAATTTTAATCCTATCCTCCAAAGCACTTGCAACCCCTCCCAGCTTAGTATCATCCACAAACTTTATAAGTGTACTCTGTATGCCATTATCTAAATCATTGATGAAGATACTGAACAGAACCGGACCCAGAACTGATCCCTGCGGGACCCCACTTGTTATGCCCTTCCAGCATGACTGTGAACCACTGATAACAGCTCTCTGGGAATGGTTTTCCAACCAGTTATGCACCCACTTTATAGTAGCTCCATCTAGGTTGTATTTCCCTAGTTTGTTTATGAGAAGGTCATGCAAAGCAGTATCAAAAGCTTTACTAAAGTCGAGATATACCACATCCTCTGCTTCCCCCATCCACAAGGCTTGTTACCCTGTCAAAGAAAGCTATCCGATTGGTTTGCCACAATTTGTTCTTGACAAAGCCATGCTGACTGTTACTTATCACCTTATTATCTTCTAGATGTTTGCAAATTGATTGCTTAATTATTTCCTCCATTATCTTCCCTGTTACAGAAGTTAAGCTGACTGCTCTGTAATTCCCTGGGTTGTCCTTATTTCCCTTTTTATAGATGGGCACTACGTTTGCCCTTTTCCGGTCTTCTGGAATGTTTCCCATCTTCCATGACTTTTCAAAGATAATCGCTAATGGCTCCGATATCTCCTTAGTCAGCTCCTTGAGTATTCTAGGATGCATTTCATCAGGCTCTGGTGATTGAAGACATCTAATCTGTCTAAATAATTTTAACTTAATTTAAAGGACATCCACTAATGCAGCCAGTGAGAATCAGGAGGGAGAGCTGGAGACATCGCAGGAATTTCCTTTGATTTCTGACCCCGAATCAGCTGGATCCGCCCACAAATCATTTGTGATCCAGGGAGAAAAAAAAAAACAAGCCTGCCAAACGCCGACTGGCCCTGTGTGCCCTCTTTGTACTTGCCTTCTGCCACTGATGCCCTGGCAGCATCCACCAGTATTCAGCCTTGTTAGGCTGTGCAGCAGCTGTGCAAGAAACAAGGCTGGGGAATTCCTCCCAGTACTGGAAGGCCAGGAAGGTTCCTGGGTCAATCCCCTTGCAACTAATCCTGTCGGGGAACTGCCAGATTCCCAAGGTTAACCCTTCGGCAGCTGCAGATCTCGAGGGCTCCATCCTCCTCCTAAATGCTCACGAGGTTTACAATCCAGACTGAGTTCATTCTAAGGAAGGGCTAGGAAGTGCCTTCCCTATAAGTCTCCCTCTCCCTTCTGATGCAGAAGAAAGGAATGTGGGGCTGGGGCTTCAGGAGACCCCACACCTAAAAGACCAGCCTGCGATCAGCACAGCCTGGAATGCACCTGTGCACGACCCGTCACCCTGCGAACTGTGTCGGCAGGGTTTTGTCCAGGTAGAAAGGCATTCCTACCCCACTCCAGCATCTTATCTATCCACCAGATATGACAGATGGGTAGATATCGATCTGTCTCCTGTCTATCCTTCTCTTTCCTTACTTCTGCGATCTCCCCACATTTGCCTTCCCTTTCTCTTCCATCCTCACTCCTTCCCTGCCAGTGCCTGTGGGTTCACATCCCCATCCCAGTGATCCGGCCCATCCTCTATGCTGGAGCCAATGCTCATTTACAGCAAAGCCCAATCTAGGCCGGTGAGCAGAGAGGCTGTCCAGAGGACATCTCTGCTTCCCACAGCTATCTGCTTCCCACTGCTCACCTCCCTCTTGTTTTGATAGGTCTCTCCCCTGGATTTTTTGCTCCGTGTGGGAGCTTTGCTTCTGGATTGCCTATCATCGGTCTAATTCATGTGGGGCACAAAGACTGATCTCACCTGGGGCAGGGGCTGGTCGAACCTGCCGCCCCAGCTAATCTGGCCCCCTAGAGTCACTCTCCCATGGCATGAGTGCCTGTCTCAGGCATCAAACTCAGCAGGTACCATTCTCACCTGGCAGAGGCGTTGGTCTTGTCGAGCATAGACCTGGAGCCCACCACGCACTCACCTAGCATGGACACCTGGCTAGCACCAGGCCCCAGCCTCACCCCCTAATGTTCCAGATCCCATCCCACCAGCCATGCTGGCTGGGCAGGATACTCACCAGCTCCTGCAGCTTATCCAGGTGCTTTTTGGTGATGATATTCTCACAGTAGCCTTTCTGCTCGGTTTCATGGATGCTGCAGGCGGCGAGGAGGAAGAAAGTCAGCAGGGTGCAGGAGACCGGGCATACCTGAGGAAGGGAGAAGTTGTCAGGAACCCCTGCCATCAGAGAATCCATGTCCCTGGGCTACCTGCTGCCCCCATGGCTAGCAGGCTCCAGGGCAGCATCCTAGCGCTGTTTCCTGTGGCTACCCCCTTGCTGACCCCTGGAAACAGCCTTTGCGGTGGATCTCTTTGTGCCAGTCAGTGGATGTAGCACAATGCTGCCAGCCCCCATGGAGAGCCCTATGGATTCCCCCTCTCTCTGGCACATCTCGAGGAACTGCCTGGTTTGTCTGTCTCTCTGCCATACAAATCCTTCTCTCCCTCTGGAGTCAGCACCCTTCGCAATGCAGAGATGGTTAAGAGACATGTGGTGCTGGGGGGGCATGGCACGGTAGGTGGGCATCGTGTGGCACTCCACTGGAAGGGTACAAGCTGCACTGATCTGCCCGAGTTGCTGTGCCAGGAGCTCGGGCCACGAATCCTTTTTAGTGGCACCCAAGCGTTCAGTCTGTGAACGCTTCTCCCCTCCCTGCTGGCCGTCCGGTCCCCCGCTCCCTCTCCAGGTCTGCTATTCTTAGAGGAGCAGGTCAGCTGAGCAGCCCCTGCTGGGAATTCCCCAGCCCTGCTGTCCCGGGGCCAGCTGAGCTGCTCTCTCAGAGCCAGGCTGCTGACAGACGCACGTGTGTACAAGCCCCTCTATGCAGAGCAGGAAACCACAGCTCCTGCCACCAGCGCACCACCAGTCGCTGTCTCGTCCTGTCTTCTCCGCCCCATCACTCAGCCATTCATTGCCTTTCGCACCCCCTCCGTTGCTCTTCACATCCTCTTCTCACCCCTCTCTCATGCGCCACCTCCCAACGCTTGCACCCCTTCTTCCTCCCTCCTCCAACCCCTCTTCTGCTTCCCCATCTGTCTCTTTCCCACCGCCCCTCCAGCTCTCACTCACCCCTGCAATCTCTCCCTTCCCTTTCTCGTCTCCTGAGAAGAATCTTAATTCACGGACCTCCTCAAATCCATCCATCTCAGAGCCAGCTGCAAATGTGTCCTCCCTTTCCAGGACCCCTCACTGCCCCTCTGTGTCACAGCACTCCAGCCCTGAGCATCTCATTGCACCTCCTTTCACATTGCCCCATCACTGAGTCACGTCTCTCCGTATTAGTAGTGGCGAGGTGTTAGCTCCATGAACTCTTTTACACACAATGCAGTTAGTCTGTGGAACTCATTGCCACAATGTATCAGAGAAGCCAGAAGGGACTGGACATTTATGTGGATAATGAAACCACCCAGAGTCACAAAAGCAAATGCTAAAGAAATAACCAAGAGGCTGGGAAGGGCTATAAACCTGCCTGCTTCATGGCACAACCACCCTCGAACTCACTGGGGTCAGGAGGAAACATTCCCAGGGGAAGGTTAACCCAGGAGTGGAGGGTTTCTGGCTCCTTTCTCAGAAGCAGCTGATGCTTGTCACAGTTGGACACAGGATCCTGGGCTAGAGGGCCGTTCTTATGGCATTAGCTTAGAATTAGAATAGAATATCAGGGTTGGAAGGGACTTCAGGAGGTCATCTAGTCCAACCCCCTGCTCAAAGCAAGACCAATCCCCAATTTTTGCCCCAGATCCCTAAATGGCCCCCTCAAGGATTGAACTCACAACCCTGGGTTTAGCAGGCCAATGCTCAAACCACTGAGCTATCCCTCCCCCTGTAACCTCCCACCCTGGAACTCAAATGCTTTCAGGGAGCTGGATCCATGGACCCTTCCATTAAGTCCAGTGGGGTTTGGAACAGATGCAGAAGGGTACAGCAATGCCTTCTCTGAGCAGGGCACTCATGGGACCTCCTGCACTGTGATCCACGTGCTGTCAGGCGTGATCCTGGCAGACATAGATTCATAGATATTAAGGTCAGAAGGGACCATTATGATCATCTTGTCTGTCCTCCTACACAATGCAGGCCACAGAATCTCACCCATCCACTCCTGCGATAAACCTCTCACCTATGTCTGAGCTATTGAAGTCCTCAAATCATGGTTTAAAGACTTCACGGTGCAGAGAATCCTCTGTAGCATGGGGCACGGGGCACACGCTGGAGGAAGGTGAAAAACCCCCAGGGCTTCTTCCAATCTGCCCTGGAGGAAAATTACTTCCCCACCCCAAATATGGCAATTAGCTGAACCCTGAGCATATGGGCAAGATTCACCAGCTAGGTACCCAGGAAAGAATTCTCTGTAGTAACTCAGATCCAACCCCATCTAACATCCCATCACAGGCCATTGGGCCCATTTACCATGAATAGTTAAAGATCAATTAATTGCCAAAATCATGTTATCCCATCATACCTTCTCCTCCATAAACATATTGGGTTTAATCTTGAAGCCAGATAGATCTTTTGCCCCCACTGCTTCCCTTGGAAGGCTATTCCAGAACTTCACTCCTCTGATGGTTAAAAACCTTCATCTAATTTCAAATCTAAACTTCCTGATGGCCAGTTTATATCCATTTGTTCTCGTGTCCACATTGGTACACAGCTTAAATAATTACTCTCTGGTATTTATCTCTCGGATATATTTATAGAGAGCAATCATATCTCCCCTCAGCCTTCTTTTGGTTAGGCTAAACAAGCCAAGCTCCTTGAGTCTCCTTTCATAAGACAGGTTTTCCATTCCTCGGATCATCGTAGTAGCCCTTCTCTGTGCCTGTTCCAGTTTGAATTCATCCTTCTTAAACATGGGAGACCAGAACTGCACACAGTATTCCAGGTGAGGTCTCACCAGTGCCTTGTATAATGGTACTAACCCCTCCTTATCTCGACTGGAAATACCTCGCCTGATGCATCCCAAGACTACATTAGCTTTTTTCATTGCCATGTCACATTGGCGGCTCATAGTCATCCTGTGGTCAACCAATACTCCAAGGTCCTTCTCCTCCTCTGTTACTTCTCATTGATGCGTCCCCAGTTTATAACTAAAATTCTTGTTATTAATCCCTAAATGCATGACCTCACACTTCTCACTATTAAATTTCATCCTATTACTATTACTCCAGTTTACAAGGTCATCCAGATCCTCCTGTATGATTTCCCGGTCCTTCTCTGAATTGGCAATACCTCCCAGCTTTATATCCTCCGCAAACTTCATTAGCACACTCCCACTTTTTGTGCCGAGGTCAGTAATAAAAAGATTAAATAAGATTGGTCCCAAAACCGATCCTTGAGGAACTCCACTGGTAACCTCCCTCCAGCCTGACAGTTCACCTTTCAGTAGGACCCGCTGTAGTCTCCCTTTTAACCAATTCCTTATCCACCTTTCAATTTTCCTATTGATCCCCATCTTTTCCAATTTAACTAATAATTCCCCATGTGGCACCGTATCAAACGCCTTACTGAAATCTAGGTAAATTAAATCCACCATGTTTCTTTTGCTTAAAAAGTCTGTTACTTTCTCAAAGAAGCAGATCAGGTTGGTTTGGCACAAACTACCTTTTGTAAAACCATATTGTGTTTTGTCCCATTTACCATTGACCTCAATGTCCTTAACTACTTTCTCCTTCAAATTTTTTTCCAAGACCTTGCATACTACAGATGTCAAACTAACAAGCCTGTAGTTACCCGGATCACTTTTTTCCCCCCTTTTCTTAAAAATAGGAACTATGTTAGCAATTCTCCAGTCATACGGTACAACCCCTGAGTTTACAGATTCATTAAAAATTCTTGCTAATGGGCTTGCAATTTCATGTGCCAATTCCTTTAATATTCTTGGATGAAGATTGTCTGGGCCCCCTGATTTAGTCCCATTAAGTTGTTAGAGACATGGCAGAGGATCCCCAACCAGGGCACTCCAACCTCCAAGGGCTACAGGGAAAACACAGGGCAACCCTGGTGTGACTCTCTTGAAACCAGTGGGATATAAATGGATGGGTAAATGAGATAAGTAGAAAATAGATTAGATAGCTATGTACTGTATTATAATAATAATGAGAGAGAGAGATGCACTGTATGGGGATAGATAGAGAGATAGACCATAGTATACGGATTGATCTAAGATCGAGGTAGACAGATCAGAATACTAAGATCTATTTGTCTAGCTAACTATCCTCCTAGATCTTAGTATACCGATTAATCAATCTAGCTAGCTAACTAGCTAGATCAATATACTAAGATCTAGGAGGATGGATTGGGTAGCTAGCTAGCTAAATATATTAAGATCTAGGAAGAGAGTTAGCTAGATAGATCAATTGATCAATCAATATACTATCTTGCTAACTCTCCTACTAGATCTCAATACACTGATCTAGCTAGCTAACCGCTTATCCATTCTTATCTTAATATACTGGTCTAGCTAGCTAGATTGATCAGAAAAGGAAGACTTAAGAGAATGAATAGATAGATGGACAGACAGACATTTAGTATACTGTTCTAGTTAGCTACCTATCATAGAATCATAGAATATCAAGGTTGGAAGGGACCTCAGGAGATCATCTTCTAGTCCAACCCCCTGCTCAAAGCAGGGCCAATCCCCAACTAAATCATCCCAGCCAGGGCTTTGTCAAGCCTGACCTTAAAAATATCTAAGGAAGGAGATTCCACCACCTCCCTAGGTAACGCATTCCATTCCAGGGGCTATCAATCCTCCTAGATCTTAGTATTCTGATCTATCTAGCTAGGTAGGTCATTTGATGAATCAGTATGCTAGGACAAAAAGAAAAGGAGGACTTGTGGCACCTTAGAGACTAACCAGTTTATTTGAGCATAAGCTTCCGTGAGCTACAGAGCTCACGAAAGCTTATGCTCAAATAAATGTGTTAGTCTCTAAGGAGCCACAAGTCTTCCTTTTCCTTTTGCGAATACAGACGAACACGGCTGCTACTCTCAAACCTATCCTAGGACAAAAAGAAAAGGAGTACTTGTGGCACCTTAGAGACTAACCAATTTATTTGAGCATGAGCTTTCGTGAGCCACAGCTCACTTCATCAGACACATCTGATGAAGTGAGCTGTGGCTCACGAAAGCTCATGCTCAAATAAATTGGTTAGTCTCTAAGGTGCCACAAGTACTCCTTTTCTTTTTGCGAATACAGACTAACACGGCTGTTCCTCTGAAACCTATCCTAGGACAGTTAGTTAGCTAGATAGACTTGTCCTTTAAGTGCCGTACTCCAACAGGGTGAGAGGATCCCAGGCAAGCAGCCCACTCAAAGGGGTCAAACAGAGTCCTCTGGGAGGAGTTCTCGCCAAACCATTCCCAAGCTCCTTGTCAGGCCCAGGCTGTGACAAGCTTCCCAGACAGGTGACAAGGCTTGCCAGCCTTGTGCATGCCCCTGCGTGCACCCGCTCCCTCTCCCCGGTATGAAGATCTCTCTCTTGGCTTAGCCCCCATTGCATTTTACAAAACAACGCACAGAGGAAAGTTCGCCCCAACTTAGCTTTAAGCCCCTGCCCTGCCAGCGCACAGCGCGAGAGGAAGAGCGAGGGCCTGCGGGGAAAGGACCTGTTGTCTCCATCCAAAGGCACAGCCCAGCAGAGCGAAGGAGCAAGCAAAAGGAGGAGTGGCAGGCGAAGGCAGAGAGAGCCGCTCGGAGTTTGCTCCCGCAGGATTGCGCTCAGCCAGGACCGTCCTTCCAACACCCGATAACCCCGGGCCCGCCAATAACGACAATCGCCCCTAACGGCAGCGCACGGTGAGGGGGCGCCCCAAAGGGACTTAGGCGCCTCCAGCCCTTGGCGGGCGGGAGCGAGGCGCCTAACGCCCTTGGTGCGCCCCGGGGCTTTCAGCCAAGCGCGGGCGCCGGCCGAGGGGCGCAGCCGGGGAAGCAGCGGGAGCGAAGGCAGGGCAGGGAGCGCAGCGGAGCCACACGTGCCGCCGCCGGCAGCAGCCGCCGCCGCCGCCCGGATCTGCCAGCGCCCCTACCTTGGGGCCGAGCCGGGCCGCCGGGGCCGCCGCCCGCGGGCCTTCCACCTCCTGGGCGCGGAGCTGCGCAGCCATCGCGGCTGCCCCGGGGAAGGAAGCGGCACTGGGCGCGGCGCGGCGGGGAAGCGGCGGCCGTCTCCTGCCTCCCTTCTCCTGGGCTCGGCCCTTTTATTGCCTCTCCGGAGCATGTGGTTTGTGGGAAATCACCTTGGCCGCCGGCCAGCGCTGGCAGCGAGCTCGCCCGGGCCTGGGCTTTTGTTTCCGCTGGCGGGGGCCGAACTGGGAAGGGGAGGGCGAGCTGCTGCCTTTACCTTGCAGCTCTCCCCCCCCCCCCGCCCCCGCTGTCCCCCCCCGACACACTGGGAAGGGGGGGTTCCCCGCATGGCAGGAGCTCCCTGCTCCTCCCCAAAAGTTCCAAGCCTCGGAAAGGGGTTGGGGGGCCTGAAGTCAACTGAGCCAGGCTGGATCCTGGAGTGAAATGTGCCCCAGGCGGGGCCGGCCTTAGGGGGTGGGCCGCTGGGGCGACCGCCCAGGGGGGCACCGGTGCAGAGTCGGAGACTACGCCCGGCTGGCAGGGGAGCGCTGCATGGGTGGGGAGGGGGCAGATTTCTCCCTGCCCCCTCCTGGCAGAGGAACATGGGGCAAGGGGTGATGCACAGCTACTGGTCCCCTCCCCCCCCCCCGCCTTCAATGACCCTCTGTGCCCCCAGAGTGGGCTGTGATGGGGGGAGCGATGAAGTGAGCTGTAGCTCAGGAAAGCTTATGCTGGAATAAATTGGTTAGTCTCTCAGATGCCACAAGTCCTCCTGTTCTTTTTGCGGATACAGACTAACACGGCTGCTCCTCTGAAACCGAGCACTCTGGGCATCCAGGGCACTTTCCCCACCTGGGCACAGGAAGGGCCGGGGGGGGGGGCAGGGGTTAGGGGCAAAGGGGGCACAGTGCAGAGCCTCCCAGTGGAGATGGCGTTTGTAGCAAATGCCGGGATCAGTATGGCCTGCACTCTACTTCCCCAAACGAAATAAGCTATCCCACACCTGGGGGATGGAGGTGGTTCCTAACTCTGAAATGTTCGCAGCTCTCAACAAAACGTTCTGCTGATTCCTTCGAAAGTTCACAACTGAGCATTGACTTAATGCAGCTTTGAAACGTCACCGTGCGAAAGCAAAAAGCTGCTGTCCCTTAATGTTTTTAGAAGTTTACATTTAACACAGGACTGTACTATATTCCCCCCCCCCCCACCTACACTGTTTATTTCTGCTGCTGCCTGATCGCTTACTTCCGGTTCCAACTGAGGGGTTGACTGGTCAGTTCCTAACTCTGGTGTTCCTAACTCTGAGGTTCTCCTGTACGGGGGAAAGCCCTTTTATGCTGTTACAGCGGTGACTATATAAAAATGGCATCAAAACATCACACCACTGGCCAACGTTACTCTGCCAGCCAATGTTTTAAGTATAGGCCTGGTTTTATGGTGCATCTACACACTGCAAATATAAAACAAGTGCGGTTAGAGAACCTCAGCGCTCAGGTCAGCTGATTTGGGGGCTAAAAACCAGCCTGTAGATGTTCCCCACACGGGCTGCAGCCTGGACTCTGAGACCCCTCACCCCTTGCTGGGTTTCAGAGCTTGGGCTCCAGCCTGCAGGAACATCTACACAGCTGTTAGCCCCCAGTGTGAGCCCAAGACAGTTGACCCGGGCCTCTGAGACTCACTGCTGGGTTTTGGATTTTTTTGCCATGTAGCCGTACCCTTAGTGAGCACGGGTCAGTTTCAGTCCAAAAACACTGCATTGTTATGAGCGTGGGTATATGTCTATGAGTTTGCATGTGTCTGTCTGTGAGAGACGTGTGCATATATATATGTGTGTGTGTAAATGGGTGTGCAATGTGCATGTGAATGATCATGTCTGTGTGTGTGGGGGGGGTGAGAGCATGTGTCTGGATTGGAATGTGCCTAGGATATGTGTGAAATATGTTTGCCAATGAGCATGGATCTATGACAAAATGCACAAATATCACAGAAACCCACTGTTACAGTCCTAGGGCAGAGAATTGCTCACGTAGTAGAGGAACATTGTCACTTGTCAGATCAAATCTGGTTTAACACACAGGTGGTTTTTAAGAACAATAGAAACCATCTTTCTATTACTTTGTTCTTTAAAAAGCTTCTTGGAAACAGCTGTTTGTAAGGAAGGAAACGTTTTCGCTGACCTGCAACTCAAAGAGTCACATGTACCACAAAACGGAATGGACCATAAGAATTAATGAAACTGACTTCATTGACTCTCACTCTCGGAGGTGGGAGAAATTAACGGCATTGTCCAAGATTTCCGGTAAACCACATGCTTTGAGGAGACTGTATTAGGTCGAGAACAGAGGCAGGAGTTAGTCTCAAACTGGATCTTGAAAGTGACTGGAGACTTAAATAATTTAAGGTCTGATGAGTAACTTAGGTAAATTAATGTGTCTGTTTATAATATTCCCTTGTCATACCGATAATACATAAGAACGGCTATGCTGGGTCAGACTGAAGGTCCATCTAGCCCAGCATCCTCTCTTCTGACAGTGGCCAGTGCCAGGTGCCCCAGAGGGAATGAACAGAACAGGGCATCATCAAGTGATCCACCCCCTGTGGCCTATTCCCAGCTCCTGGCAAATTTGTTCAAATGCGTTTATATTTGTTCAAGTTTGTGTATATCTGATCACGGGCACCTATGCATGCCGATGTGTTTGTGTATCTACGTGCAGGTATGTCGACGGGTATGCTGATGCCTGTCTGTTAACGTCTGGACACAAGGAATGTCCGTGAATCGCCATATCTATGCGTGTGCCAGGGCATCTGCATGTGCATTGTTCATCTGTGTTCATTTGCCTCTGTGTGCAATAGGTTTGGGACCGTGCTTGTGTGTCTGTATTTTGTGTGCATGCAGGGATAAGGCATGCAAAGCTGTGAGTGTGTCAGTGTGATAATGTATATGCCTGTGCTTCTGTGTGTACAATGTATGTGCATCTGCATCAGTGTGCATGCATCCACATCCATATACATTATACGTGCATGTCTTATTCCAAAGTGTCGTTTAGTTCCCAGGGCTAGAATTGGAAGGCAGAACTGTGGGAGACTTGGGGTGTGTTTGGGTTGGTTCCATGACCCCCCAACACTTGGCATGAGCACTGGTTTTAACAGCTGCCCCAGGTTGAGTCAGAGAGATTTTGGATAAATTCATCTTCGGGGCTCAGTGTCATTATATTAAAAATAGGAACTATGAAGGGGGGAAAAAACCCAAACCAGAAGGTCAAGATTTTCCATTCAGTAATCTGATCACATCTGTTTTCTTTGATTCACAGGGTAACATCACAGAGACAGAACTCAGCTGACACCAAGGGAGTGGCAGAGTGGTAGTGGGAGGGATGGAGTCCAAAGGCAAGAGAAAGGGAACCATTTGTATAGCCTAGGGACCAGATCCTCAGCTGGGGTCATGCAGTATAGCCCCACTGAAGTCAATGACTCATAGAATCACAGAAATATTGGGCTGAGGGCTGGAAGGGCCTCGAGCGGTCACTTACTCCAACCCCCTGTGCTGAGGCAGCCCCAAGCAAACCTAGAACGGCCCTGATAGGTATTTGTCAAACCTGTTCTTCGAAACCTCCAATGACCCGGACTCTCCAACCTTGAGTGGCAGCCTATTCCAGTGCTGAACTATCCTTATAGTTAGAAAGTTTTCCCTCCCATCTAATTTAACACTCCCCTGCTGCAGATTAAGCCCATTACTTCTTGTCCTACCTTCAGGAGAACAATTGATCTCTGTCCTCTTTACAACAGCCCTTAGTCCCCCTTCAAACTTCTTTTCTCAGTGCGGAACATGCCCAGGTTATTTTTAGCCCTTCCTCATAAGTCAGGTTTTCTAACATGTTTATCTTGTTGCTCTCCTCTGGTCTCTCTCCCGTATGTCTACATCTTTCTTAAAGTCTGGTGCCCGGAACTATACATGACACTCCAGCTGAGACCTCACTATTGCCAAGTAGAGCTGGACAATAATCTCCTGTGTTTTACATACAACACTCCTGTTAACACACACTGGGATAGCAGCCTTTCTTGCAACTGCATCACATTGTTGATTCTTTCAATTAGTGACCTACAGTAACCCCCAGATCCTTTTCTGCAATACTGCTGCCTAGCCCCTTATTCCCCGTTTTACATTTGTGCATTTGATTTTTTTTCATCCTGAGTGCAGTACATTTCACTTGTTTTTATTGACTTTCATCTTGTTGATTTCAGATCAGTTCTCAAATTTGTCAAGGTTTTGTTTCGAATTCTAACCCTCTCCTCCAAAGTGCTAATAAACCTTCTCATCTGCAAATTTTATAAGTATGCTCTTCTCTCCAGTACTGGAATCATTAATGAAAATATTGAATAATTCCAGACCCAGGGCAGACTCCTGAGAAACTCTTCAGGATACATCCTCCCAGTTTGACAGCAAACCCATTGATAACTACTCTTTGAGTACAGTCTTACAATCAGTTTTGCACCCGTGCCTGATAGTAATTTAATCTAGACTACATTTCCCTAGTTTGCTTATGAGACCATCATGTCAAAAACCTTACTAAAAGCAAGATACATCACATTTACTGCTTCCCCCCATCCACGAGGCCAGTAACCCTAGGTTGGTTTGACATGATTTATTCTTGACAAATCCATGTTGGCTAGTACTTACAATCCTGTGATCCTCTAGGTGCTTACAAATTGATTGTTTAACAATTCATTTCAATATCTTTCCAGGTATCAAAGCTAGGCTGATTAATTCCCTAGGTCCGCTTTGTTCCCCTTTTTAAAGATAGGTTCTATGTTTGCCCTTCTCCGGTTCTCTGGGACCTCTTCCATCCCTCATAAATTCTCGCAGACAATCGCTAGCAGTTCTGAGATTGCTTCAGCTATTTCCTCGAGGAGGAATTTTATCAGGCCCTGCCACTTTCAAACATCTCACTTATCTAAATATTGCATTCCTTCCCCCTTGTATATATTAATTGTGTTACGTATCTGGTCAGTGAAGACAAACAAAATAGGCATTAAACATCTCAGCCTTCTTGATGTCATCTGTTATTAGAATCATAGAATCATAGAATATCAGGGTTGAAAGGGACCCCAGAAGGTCA